CCTTCCAGTTCTGAAGAACGAAGGCAAAAAGCACATCAGGACTGAAAAATAATTTACAAGAATTAACTCTTGCCAGTATGATCGACCATTCTGTAGTTTTGCATCTGATTCAACCTCATATTAAAATAAAACCACGTTCAGAGAGAATAAATCAACACAGAGCGTGCAACAAGAGAGTAACAACATCACCTGGCATTTAAAAAGTGGTAAATAGGACCAAGAAAGTGCTGTATTGATTAAAAAAACAACGAGGGGGAGCACAGCAGTCTGTCTTAGCCAAGAAAAAAAAGGTGACTGCACCTTAAAACCATAAATACTGGCAGGTTTTAAAGAACTGGCAGTTCTGACATCACCTATAAATGCATTTGTAGGATGGCACAGAGCTCCCCACCCCAAATCCACACCGAGTTTGTGTTTGTTCCACTCCAACAAGAATCAGAACAACGGGATGAGTTTCCTTCAGCTCCACGAAAAGCAGATTTTGAGAGACAGAAAGAGGCAAAGGGGCAGCAATTTAAGGAATGTCCTGATAAAATTACGGGGGGGGGGGGAAGTTGCTTAATAGAATCATAGTTTTAATTTGTTACAATAAATAGCTTTATAAAATGTTTTAGCTGAATGACTTCAACACCAAGCATGAATTCAGACTCCAGTGCTCCAACTGGGAACTTCCAGCCCTCCCAAGTCTGGGGATTAATCCAAAGCCATCATTTTACACCTCCTGGAAGATTTTATTGCAGTCTCAGCATCAGCCACGTTTCCTTCAGAAAGGAGCCAGAGAGAAGCACAAAGTCCAGGCGATCCCAGGGCACCTGACCCTGCTCTGGTGATTCACACGGATGTGACTGGGTGTTTGTCAAACAGCAGACAGGCCAGAGCAGGCGGGGACAGCCCTGGGAGGGTCAGCTGGGGTTTCTCTGCTCGAGGAATTCCAGGTTTGGTGCTGCAGGGTGGGACGGGATGCACTCCTTGGCTGGGAGCTGAGCCCTGGGGCTGCAGGATTGCAGGGTTTGGAGGAGAACTGGGGAAGAAAGGTGTCAAAAACACTCGTGGGAACATGGACAGAGTTCAGCTGGATGCTCTGTCACACACCAGCAGTTTGATTCACTGCCCACAGGCTCAACCTGAGCTGGTTGGTTCCCTTATTTTTCAGCCTCTCCACGACAATCCCTCTTTTCTTGGCCCCCTCTCCCACTCCCACCCCGTGTTTGAGGCAGGAGGGATTCACAGGAGCTGCCAGAGCTGCTGATGCACAAAGAACCACTCCCAGCCCCCCAGGTAAAGCTTCAGCCACCTCAGCCAAGGTTTCTACAGTTACCAAGAGGAAAAGCTTCAAAACCCCTCCCAGCTCGGTCCCTCCTCACCCCAAATCCCCCCTCAAGGGCTGAGGGTGGTGCGGGACTCGCTGCACTGCGGGTAAAGCTCCAATCCAAGACACAAATGAACCACCTGTAAGGCAAGAAGGGAATTTCTACTCATGATTCCAAGACAGGCCGTAAAAAGTTACAGTGGCAGCCCCCTGTAATTTGCCATTTTTGTCCATTTAATGCATTCCCTGCAGCAACCACCCCCCAGTCACACCTGAGCTAACATTTCCCTCCCAGCCCAGGGATGCAGCACTGCAAGGCTCCGGTCCCCCACTCATCCCAAGAGCTCCAAATGCTTTTTCAGCCCCAATTCCTCTGGCAGAGCCAAAGTCAACGTTCCCCCAGCCAGGGAGGAAGGAGCCGCTTCCACCAGGAGCTCACAAGGCCAAGGATTCCCAGGCTGGGTTATTAAAGCAGAGCTCCTGGACAGGAATCCCATCCTGACACAAATCCCATCTTTCCTGTCCCAGAGCAGGCTGGGGGATTCCTGACCAACAAAGTCCCCACAGATCACGTCAGAACTGGGGCGTGGGGAGGGAAAACCCACCCTGAGACGCTTTTAGAGATAAATTTCTACTCTAAGGAAACGGGAATTGTAGCACAGGAAGAAAAGCAGGATTGTGGAATTAGTTTTAGGCACTTGAGTTGCAGAGGCTGTGCCAGGTCCATTCACTGCTCACACCTCCCCCTACACCCACAGGATGCGCAGGGAGCGGCTCCTCAGCCCCCCTGACAGGAAAAACATCGACAAGTGGAGCTTGGGAGATCCCTTTTCCAACTTTATATTCCACCTCTCCTCACAGTTAAAGGCCTGGGTAACTTCCAGATTCCAGAGATGACTGACCGAATTTATGACCTGCTAAACCAAAGGAAACATTTCAAGGATTATTGAAATAGGGCCTACCACGATTTTTTTTTTGCTAATAAAATGCCCTTCTGCAGCCTAAACTTCAATAACCAGTTTTTAAGGCCTCTCCCTTCTCTGTGGAATATCCCAAGGAAGAATTTCACAGCCTTAGAAGGAATTCCATGGAGAACAAAGGCAAAGCTGGAAGCCAGGGCAGCACAACACCGAGGGTGGAACACAACCAAGGTCACAGCTCCGGGGGAGACAATCCAACAATTCCCAACAATCCCCAACAATCCCCACGTGGAGCTGGGAGCAGCACTGATGCCAACTTCCCTCGTTTTTCTATGGACAAAGCTGGGAGAAAAAATGGGAATTGTCCTGCAGGGAAGGGGGAAAAAAAAAAAAAAAAAAGCTGTAAACAAGAAGCACAACCACAAAAGGGTCTGAGAGATCAAAAGCCTGGCTGTTCTTCTTGGGCACGGGAACACTTTGAACTTCCCACACGTGGAATTCAGAGCACCATCACAGCAACCATTCCAGGGGGGTCTGGAATGGGTCTCACCAACCATTCCAGGGGTTTTTGGAATGGGTCTCACCAACCATTCCAGGGGAGGGTCTGGAATCGCTGGCAATGGGGTGACAAACCCCACCATCCCCCCCAGACTGAAAATCAGCATTTAAAGCCCCAGGTGTGCCCACCCGGGAGTGCCAAGCCCTGGAGGAGCTGCAGGCACAGGATGTGTCAGGGAACATCAGGCACTGCTGAATTCTGGCCACATCTGCCCCCAGAAACACAGAACAGGCACAGAACTCGTGGCTGCACAAGACATGGCACACCTTGGTTATACCTGGGTCAAGGCTGGGTTGTTTTCAGAGTCCCCCACACAGAAAACAGCTTAGATTTTGGGTTCTAAACTCCTCAGGGCCCCAAAGACACCGTTTAAGAGCCAGTCTGGCTCCTGGCTGGGCTCTGGGGCTGCTCCAGAGCCCGAGGGGAGGGGAATCACGAAGAGCCACAGAAAGTGGAAGTGGCCACGAGAGGGGAAGAGCAAACACGAGGCAAGAGCTGTGCAAACACACGGTGTCTGGTCACACACAGCCCACACCTGGAGAAACCACCACACCTTCACTCCACGGGCACAGAAACCCTCCAAACAAGCAGCAAATCCCCCAGTACAGCTCCACCACTGCTCTGCCATTGACAACAGCTCCTTCCCTTAGAGCCCAGAGTTCTCAGCCTTTAACACCCTGGAGGGATCAAAGCAAAGATTCACAAACCAAACACTTCGGGTTTAGAAGCAAAGTCTGCTCTTTTTTTTTTTTTTTTTCTTCTTTTCCAGACTAGAAAATGTACAATTCCATTTCATGTGTGCACAGAAGAGCTCTTGTAGATACTGTCAGAGAAAACGGAGAGAGCCTCTGCGGGAAATTGTTAATTCTTCAAACATTGATACATTTTGCAATACACCAGTTAAATACCAAGATCTATGTGCATGCACTATGGGTATATGCATGTACACCTTAATGTTTGACAGAGACAGCAGAGCCCCCCCCCGGCCAGGGAGCCTCAGAGATACCAAAAATAGATTAAAAAGGTCGATTCTTTCCCTGCCTTTGTTAAATACCGACTTTTGAGGCTGCCTCCCTTCCCTTTCCCCCAGGATCCAGGTGCTCCCAGGGAGGCAGGGACACCGGCCAGGTTATCCCAGAGAGAAGCACCTCGAAGAGTTCCAGCTGAGCTTTCCCTGTGAAATGCCTTTTCCAGCCCCCTCAGGAAGGGAAGGACACCCTCAGCACAGGGTGGTTCCACTCTGCTGTCCTCCCCAGGCATCTCCCACAGAAGAGCCTGTGATTTAAGGCCACGTGCACTCCCACAACACTGACATGTCAAACCACCCTCCCAGCCGCCTCCATCCTCTAAAAATGGGAATTCTGGACACCTCCTGCACGAGACAGGCAGCCCATCAGGTGCTACAGCAAGGAAAGGCCATCCTAGTGTTCCAAAAGTGCTCTGGGGACCAAGCAGGGAGTTCTGTTTTCACCTGGAACTCGTGTGGCTCACTCAGAGCTTCCCAAGTAGTGTCATGTGTTGTCCCCATGCAGTTCCCTCCGCTGCACGTTGATAAATCTGCACATTTATGTAGCAAAGAGAGCTTCTCCTCTGCAAAACACTTCATTAGAGTGTGACTTGTACGACTCCAGTGGGACTGCCCAACGTACTTTTGTGCCTCCTCTTTGGTTTATAAAAAAAAAAAAAAAAAAAGATGTTTTTTCCCTTTTTGAGAGCTAAAGGTACTCTTAGACCTGAACCAACCAGACTGCAAAGGAGAGCAGTGGGCAGGATGTGCACCTGCAGCACCACCCCAACAACACCGGGAAAGGAAAACCCACCTGGTTTGAAACAAACCTGTCCTGTTGGCCAACACTGGCACTCAGAGCTCAACCCACGTGTGCCCCAGCCCATCCCAGCTCCTCCCTCCCCCAAAAATCCTGTGGAAAACCAGCCCTGGGCCGAAGGGAGGGTTGGTCTGTCCAGCTGTGGGATCCAAGGGGTGGTGGGCACGGAGGGAGGGAGCTGGGACAGGGGGACAGGGCCGTGTCACACGTCAGAACCGCTGCCAGCACACCGAGCCAGCTGCACACACTGCTCTGAACGGATTGCAACGAACTGAAGATGAGGTATAAATATCCACAAATATGTACAGTTCACAGACAGGAAAACAGGGGTGCATTTGTAACATTGGTAACCTCGAAAATACTGGAGGAGCTGATACCTAAGCCAGTGATTTGTTGCTGATTTACTGGAATAATGAAGCCAACATCTTCCACTAGAGAGGGCTACAACAGGATAATAAAACTCGAAATTAAAAGCTCCTTTCCTCTTGCTTCGTCTTCCCCAGGCCCGAGGCTGGGCTGCAGCTCCTCAAGGCTGGGCACAGCTCTGAAAGGGATCCTCCCAGCAAACCAAACCCCACTGGAGCCAGGGCTGCAGTTCCCTCTAGGGATGGTCCTTCCTGTCCGCTGTGAGGGGGCAGCTTTGTAGAAAATACAGTTGCAGTCAGTTCAGGGTAAATCCATCCACCCCACCGCCTCTGCCGGGAGCCGCTCCCTGGAGCAATGTCTGTGCAAAGGGGGCACCAAAAATCATCTGATCTTAAGTCTTGACATCATCCATTCCAGTCCTTGGCACAGTCTGCGAACAGAAGGGACAATGGTTAAGGAACACACGCACTCCTGAGGAGGACTCCAAAGGTAATTCCACGGCATCAGCTGAAATCCTTCCCGTGACTCATTTCCAGGAACCATCCACGCCAGGAGTGGCGTCTCCCAGAGCCTGTTGCGCAATCCAGGAGTGAGACACTTCACATCCTGCACTTCAGGACACGGAGGTCTCTCTGACTGGGGTTACTCTGGATAAACCAGGACAGATTTCGGGCCATTCCCCCTGGGCTCTCACTAAGCCCAGTTCATATCAAGTTTTATCTCTGTGAGGGGAGGCCGAGGATTTGATGGAAAAGTTGTTTTTCAGTGTGTTCTGGGCCCAAAGGAAGTGTCAGGATTATTAAGTGGGGAGGCCCTGAAATGGAATTCCCAGAGAAGCTGTGGCTGCCCCTGGATCCCTGGGAGTGTCCAAGGCCAGGCTGGAGCAACCTGGGATAGGGGAGGTGTCCCTGCCCATGGCAGGGGGTGGGATGGGATGATTTTTAAAGTCCCTTCCATCCCAAACCCCTCTGGGATTACTGCTGAGAGGGGAGCAATGTGTGTAAAAAGCAAAGAGTAGAATAAACCCCCAGATAACTCCAGCTTACAGAACCCCTCTTACCCCTCTCCAGTGAGAGCACAGCAGGCCTGAATGTGCCACTGGTGATCCTTGATGGACGTGAGCTTCAGGAACTGGGAGATTTCAGCCACTGTCATGCACTCCTTCACATCCTGCTTGTTTGCAAAGATCAGCAAACCTGCTTTTTTCAAGTCCTGGGCAGAGAGGAGAGAGGAGAAAACGATGACAAAGCAGCCCTCGGAGGCAAACGATGTGATAGCAAAGGGAACCCTGAGCCCCAGCCAAAAATCCTGCAGGAAAACTGCCGCAGGGTGACATGGAAGGGCAGGAAAGCCTTTGATCCAGCAGCCCAAACAGCCAGGTTTGGCCGTGGATGACGTGGAAAACTCAGCACAGGGTTCTGCTGTGCTCCAGGAGGATCAGAGCACCTGTATCCCTGGGCAGCACGAAATCTGGGAACAGGGACTCCTGGACAAGCTTATTTGGCCTCCAACTGCCTGGAATTGCACCAGTGCAGGGGTTATTATGGAAAATGTCTCCCCTGGAAAGCAGAAAGGTGTTCCCAGGAAGCCAAGCCAGCTCAGGCATTAACTGCCTGCTGGACACACTGATGTTTACAGGCAAAAAATTAATTACCAAACCACCAACTGCTCCAGAAAATACTTGGAACAGACCTGGGAAACTCAATTTTGCCTTAACAGGAGCTCAGTGGAACCGCTGGGCAGAGAGGAAAGGCTTCAAGGAGCAAAGAAAAGCCATTTTAAACAAATATTTGAGTTTCCTTTGGGCCTGTAGCTATTGCTGTTCTCTCCAAACAGCGTCTGGAGAGGGAGGGGGAACAGCCTGGAAACATCCTGCTGGACAACAATGGCCACATTCACTGGGGGTGGCTCAGGAATCATCTCCCAGCACGGAGCAAGGGCTCCTGCAGCCTGGAATTCTGCACCTTCCTCACGGCAAACCTCAATTAACGACTTCTGCATCTTCCCTTTATTGGGAGACAGAAGATGCAGATTAGAATTTACTTTATTAACCACAAAAGTTAAACAGCAAAAGATGTAAAAAAAAAAAAAAAATTTAAATACCAAAAAAAGAGACATTCAAGGCACTGTTTTGTTTTTCTCCAAGGAAATCCAGAGGCAGGCTCTGCCCTTCCTGCAGTCCATGGACCGTGGCTGTAGGTTAAATATGGGTGCCATATTTGGGGATGCAATGCCATTGTTTTTATGCAGATTTTATTTTTTTTACTCTGACATTTAAATTTGGAAGCTCAGCATCATCTCCCACACACTGATCCAGCCTGGACTCAGGTCATGCCACAGGTACTGCCTGGCTGAGACATCAGCTCAGGATTTACAGCTCAGAGCCAGAGGGCTCAGCTCTAGACCTGACCCAGAGCTCGGGTTTAAAGAGGGACTTTGCAATTTAGCAACTTACACCCTCCCTTGTAATTCCAAACACAGCCCAGTGTATGGCCAGGGGCTGCCTGTTCCTCCAGCTTTACACCTGCTTGCCACAGAGCACATTATTTCACTGAAAACAGCACATCAGGCAACCCTGAAGTTATCAAATAGGGACTGATTTATTGCAGGAAACAAGGGGTTTTTAAAGGATCTAATTCAGAGGTTAACATGGACTGAGGTATAAACACCACAGAACCACTGACAGGTCCCAAGTGCTGATTCCCTGAGTCTGACACATTTAGGATCAACTTACAGTTTACTGGGAGTTTCACAAAAGACAGTCCAGGGTGGAAATCTGCTTCCCTTAACACGTATCACACAGATAAATACCCAAATAAATATTAAAATAAATATATTAAATAAAGGCCCGGGATTTACCCACCTCGTGTGCCAACATTTTATACAGCTCTTCCTTAGTCACAGAGATCCTCTCTCTGTCTGTGCTGTCCACCACAACTATCACAAACTGCAAAGAGTGAAATTATTAGAGAACAAACCTTGTCTGTGTGGCCAAACCTTCCTGGTTCCTGACCAGGCCCCTGCTCCCATCCCATTATCCAGCTGCATTCCCACCCCTATCCCACCCTCTCCCCCAGCCCCCTGGGGTGGTTCCCAGCCTGGGCTGTGGTTTGGGGACACAGGCAGCTCTGACACAACGTGGGACTTTCTGTTCTCCATTTTTCAGGGGAAAAATTCATATTGAAAGTGAGGAAATTCTCTGCAGTCCCAGGGCTGGGGTTGTTCCTTGCTTGGCACAACTGAGGCCCCGCAGAGACCCCTCAAATCACTTGCTGCAGCCTTAAAAACATAAACTGCACCAGCTTCCTTCCCCAGTTCTAAAACCAACAGGCAAATAGGGATTTAAAAAGCCCTTTGGCTCCAAACTCCAAGAGCCCACATGCAGATAAAATGTCACAGAACCCTTCAGGCTGCAAAGGACCTCTGAGAGGTCACAGCATCTCTCAGGGAAGCACAGCAGAACAAAGGCAATTATTGTAAGAATTGTATTGAATCACATATAAATATAATTTATAGAACATAACTGCATTGGAACCATATTTGAGAGCACACAGGAAACCTTGATTTCAAGAAGCATTTTTATCAAGTTATCTGCTTGATAAAATTTATATATATGTATATTTATACGTGCTGAAGAGTTCTGAAAACTCTTTGCTGGGTGGGGGGATGAAGTAAATCGATGATGGGATCCCAAAGCCTCAGGGGAAAACTTTTGGAGTCTCCTCCTTATTTTCCTGAGGGGTGCTGAGGTTTTGGAGGGAGCAGTGACGGACAACGAGGGGCTGGGGCACACCCAGCCCAGCTGAGCTGCAGATCCCATCCCCAGAGCCCCAGGCAGGGTTTTCCAGGTGCAGATCCCATCCCATCCATCCCCAGAGCCCCGGGCAGGGGCAGTGGCTGCCCAGGAGGCCCCACCTCGGTGTTGGTGTAGTAGGTGTTCCAGGAGGAGCGCAGGGACTCCTGCCCCCCGATGTCCCACATGAGGAAGCGCGTGTTGTTCACCACGATCTCCTCCACGTTGCTGCCGATGGTGGGGGACGTGTGGACCACCTCGTTCATGGAGCTGCAGGGGCACAGGGACGCTGCCAGTCACCCCCACCAGCACCCCACCCTGGCTGGGGTTCCCAAACCCTCCCAGCAAACCTCCCAGACCAGGGGCAATGGGGGGGAGGTGCATAAAGATAAACAAACCCAGCAATAAAATAACTCCCTGAGCCGTGGAATAATCCCATTACAGAGCTGGGAGCACTCTCCTGCACAGGACTGTGCTGTAATTCATCACAGCTCACCACAGGGCTGGGGGAATTCCCCCCTCCGAAGCCAGTTCCTTCTCCAGGCCCATCTTGGCACTCGTGGGACGGAGCAGTTGTTTTGCTCCAAGAATGTGGTTAAGCCACGAGATTCCCGAGGTTTCAGGAGAACAAGAGCTCCTCATCCAGCCCCACAGACACACCACATCCACTGCCTCCCGCTCCCCTGCCAGGGCAGGCCACTGGAAACGGGTTTTATCCACAACTCCCCCCTCCAGCACAGTCCAGCACACAACTTCTGGGAGACACCCAGTCATTAAATATTCCAGATATATTGTTTGGAGATCCCGAGTGTAACTCTGTCACTGACACCACCAGTGTCACACCAAATAACCAAACCTGTGCTCTGGATACTCCTGAGCTTCAAACTATTTAAACTCCCCCCTTAATAGGCAAAAAAAAAAAATAACAGCAGTTTCAAAGCAAACCAATCTTCAGGGAATTTAATTATTTGTTTCCTCTGATACTCTTGATGTATTTTTTCATTATATATGAAGTTTTTAAAGTTTCATCAGAGGTTCTGGTTACAGTGGCAGCAATTTGAGACTTGCAAGGTGCTGGAATGTTTCCTGAAGAGGATACTGGGAGCCAGGGAGATAAAGGGATGGCCCAGTGCTCTGGAAAGGAATCCCAGTTTTCCAGTGTCCCCCATCATTTCACAAGAAACCTGCCCACCACACACACTTGAAGGCAAATGTTGGAGAGAAGGAGAAGGACTGGAAGGACCCTAAAATCAAATGAAGGGTGACAGTGATGCCTGGGGCTGATTTCATATTTAAAATCAGGTTTCAGCAGAGTTCTTTTAAAGCTTGGAAGGGACTTATGATCCCCTTTCCTTGACTGAACCCACAGCCCTTCCCATCCCAGCTGTTGGCATCTCCCAGTTTGCAGCAGGACAGGTGGGATAACACCATTTCTAACACATTTCCTGATCACAAACTCCCCCTGAGGGGAGGGAGATCTGAGGACACAGCAGGAAGGAATGAAGAGTCTGTAAGAGGGAAAATGGGATATGCAGAGGTGGGGGGGGGCTAAGGAGGGGACAGGCAGAGGAACAGAGCAAAGAGGGAAGGGGGACACCAGAAGAGAGCTGGGAAAGTCCTGTGGAGCTAAACAGGACACACAGGAACAGGACACACAGAGATCCACTGTCTGAAAGGGAAAATAAAACACTGAAACTGCAGAAATAAGGGGAAGAACTGAGAGACATCTGTGAGGAAGTGGAAAGTCACAGCAGTAAATGCACCAGGACAGCCCTGAGCTGCATTAAAAAATACCCTTCGCTCTATTTGCGGGTTTTAAACCATCTCACCCACTGGATGAATCCCAGCCCCATCCTCTCCCTCTGCCTGCAGTGGGAGGGCAGGAGCAGCTGGAGATGCTGCACCAGTGCCATGTTTTGGAAAGGCAGAAGCAGGTCAGAATGTGACAAACCCCAAACGTTCCCAGAGAGCACATTTTCGGTGCAGCATCGGAGCAGCAGGGCCACAGCTCCCACCAGGAATTATTCCTGGTGCTGCCTCGGGAACGCTTCACGTGGGAAAGGGCCAATCTGTTCCCAGCACAGAACCTTGAGCTGCCTGTGCCACCCTGGAGCTTCTGTGCTCAAGTGTGTACCCTCTTATCAGACGGCAGCTCAGGGCCCGAGATAGGGAGCTCAAAGGAGCCTCACCAACAGCAGGGGCAGGGCAAGCACAGCCAAAGCCGCTGCTGAAGGCAGAAATTGCAGGACAGCAGGAGATGTTGTCCTGGCTCCATCCTGGGATCACCCTCCCCCTTCTCCCCGAGCCACAGAGGGCACCAAGGCCATCCCAGCACAGGAGTCGTGGCAGGGAGAGGCGCTCAGAGCAATTTGTCTGGGATTTAAATCGGTGCCATGGATCAGTTTTGCAACACTGTCCCGTGGCCAACGCTCACCCCAATCCCATTTTACGGGGCTGGCAAAGAGCCAGCGGCGTGTGTGGTGACACCGCAGGTGAGTGTGTGGTGACACACCTGAACAGAACCTCACTGACACCCCGGGCAGAGCAGAGCCCCTTCCAGCATCAAAGCACCCAGGAGAGCAGCAACGTGCACAGCACACACCTCCAACACCCCAAAATCCCCCCCCCACACAGGGTCATACTCACAATTGGTACAGAATGGTGGTTTTCCCTGCATTGTCCAGGCCCACAATGATCACCTTGTGCTCTGAAACGACAACAGCACGAGTAAGTCGCTGTGTTCATTACCGTGACATCAGCTGTGCCTGAAACGTTGGTGCCACGTTTTCCACGGGCTCCCCGAGCAAACACTGCCCGGCTCCAGCTGCTCAGGCTGGGTGGGGAGCTGCTGCTCTGAGCAGGGAAGGGGCTGGCAACTCCCCCCACCTCTGCAGGAACAACTTCTGAGACTGCACGTGGATGTTCCCTTCTCTAAACTGCCAAAGCAACATCCCACTGGAATCCTCCCCCGAGCTCCCACAGCAACTCCTCGTGGTCAACCTTCACTTCCCCTCCGTCACGGCAACATCTTGGTCTCTTTGCAAGTTCAAAGAGCAGTTTTTGCCAGTAAAACCCACAGCCAGGCTGAGCTGGACCTGTGAGCGGGGAGGGGGATCAGCAGCTCTGGAACCCGGGGGGACAGATCTGCCCACGGGCATTTGACAGGACACACTCGCCCCGCTGAGTTTTGGGTGAGCCAAGGGGCGCTCGGCAAAACCTCCCCCGACACTCTGGAGCGCCGTGCCCACATCAGTTATTGTTTCTCATCACCCAAACTGCCTGGGAACTCCACAGCTGGGGTTTGAGCACGTCCAAATTGAGGATTTCCAGGACGGGTGAGCACAGCCAGCTCCGAGCCCTGTTACACAATTTTTACTGCACAAACAACCAGGGCTATGCAAGTAAAAGCCCCGTGAGAAGGGGCTGTGTTCCCCCACCCACCCACTGGCCCTCCAAGGCAACCAAAAGCCATTATAAACACTGAGATCGATGTACGCTCCCAGCGATTTAAACCAAGAGGAGAGGGAGGGGACAGGGGTCAGGTAAGTGGGGTTTTCTTGAGTTTGATTTTCCCAGTATTGTGCGGTTTTGCAGAGCTGTCTCGTGAGCCATCCGATACGAACTCCAGTTTCAGTAACTCTGCATAACTGCACAATATTGTAAAAGCCTCTGCTTACCTGACCCCGTGTAATTTTTAGGAACTTTTGTTTGGGGTGTGATGCTGCCAGCATAGGAAACCTTTGGGAATCAGCTGGATCAGAAGGTCTGGGTGCTACGAAAATACCTTGTTGCGTTCGCACTAAGTGTCAACGGGGACGCAACTGGGACACTGAACCCGCAGGTGCGAGCGCACCGAAACTCCCCAAAAATCGAATTTCGAGGACTTGATAAACGCGGGAAGAAGTGTTCTGTAGTTAAAGTGACAACTCTGGTGAGCACCTTACTCCAAGGACACAGGTGTTGCAAAGCACCGACTCACAGGATGGTTTGGGAAGGGAAGTTATGGATCATCCCATCCCACCCCTGCCCTGGGCAGGGACACCTTCCACTGTCCCAGGCTGCTCCAAGCCCCGTCCAGCCTGGCCTTGGACGCTTCCAGGGATCCAGGGGCAGCCACAACTAAAGCTATAAATAGCATTTACTCCACAAACGAGCCAGATATCGAGGTTTACCACTTAAACCCACACTCTGCCTATAAACCGAAACTACTCGCCACGACGCAAGCCGGCCGTGTTCCTTCGGCACACATTAATAATATAACAGCGGCTGTCAGGAACGAGCACTGCGGGGACGGAGAGCAGGGCAAAAAAAAAAAAAAAAAAAAAAAAAAAAGAGTTAAACCCTCGCATTTCCCGGAGCGAGTCGGGCTCCGCCGGGACCTCCCCGGACACCCTCAGCCACCCCCCGGCACGCCGCGCTCACCCTGGTGGTTGAAAAGCCTCCATATCCTGGTGAAGAGGATCCCCATGGTCGGCCGGGGCGCTCCGGCCTCTCCGGCCGCGGCAGTGCGGGGCGGCGGGCGCTCAGGGCCCGGCGCGGCGCCCACACAGCCGGCTGGGGCCGCGCCGGGGCCGCTGCCGCGGGGACATCGCCGGGGCCGCGCCGGGGGCCGGGCTGCGGGCCGGGTGCGCTCTGGGAGCGGGCAGGCAGTGCAGTACAGCGGGCCGGGCTGGCGGGCCGGGCTGTCGCGGCGGCTCCCGCGGCCCCTCACGGCCGGGCCGGGCCGGGCCGGGCTAGGCTGGGCTGTCTCGGCTCCTCACGGCGCGGCCGGGCCGGGCTGGGCTGGGCTGTCTCGGCCCCTCACGGCGCGGCCGGGCCGGGCTGGGCTGGGCTGTCTCGGCCCCTCACGGCCGGGCCGGGCCGGGCGGGCGCGTCGCGCTGACGCGCGGGGGCGGCACCGCGGCCGCCATTACACGGCACCGCCTCAGGCGCGCCCCGCGCCGCCGGGCACGGCCCCGCTCCCCACACACGCGGGATCGGGGGGCGTGTGGGTGGCGAGGGACGGTTCGGATCATCCCGGCCCACCCCCCTGTGCCGCGGGCACCTTCGCAAAGCCTCCCTGAGCAGCCGGTGCCAGGGCCTCGCCGCCGCACAGCCACGGATTTCTGCTCAGTGTCCCACCGAAATCAACCCTCCTTCAGCTTAAACCCATTCCCTGTGTCCTGTCCCTCCGTCCCTTGTCCCTCTCCAGCTCTCCTGGAGCCCCTTTAGGCACTGCAAGGGGCTCTCAGGTGTCCCTGGATCCTTCTCTTCTCTAGGTGAACCCCCCCAGCTCTCCCAGCCTGGCTCCAGTTTATGGAGAAAATACGTGCACTTTGCCATAAAATCCCTGCTGGAACACGGTGCCCTGAGGAAAACTCGGGGATAATATGGTGGAAGCAGCTCCCCAGTAGCTGAGTGAGTTTGCAGAAAGGCACTGTATATGTACTGGAAGGGGCTCCGAGGTCCCCCTGGAGCCTTCTCTGCTCCAAGATAAATTTCTCTGTCCAAACCCACCACCGAGCTGAAATCCTCAGGGTTTAGAAAAACCCTGGTAATGAATAGGTTGTGCAGGGCTCTCTGTGGCAGCCTAGAGAGGAGACACAGGATCTGTGCCCTCATTTGTCCTTTCCCCGAGCAAAACACGGCTTTATTTTACAGGAAAACACGAGTTTATTTTACAGGAAAACACTGCTGTGTTTCCCTTTCCTCACCTGCAAAGCTCCCGGTGTGGCCAGTGCCCAGCGCCACCTGAATGGGACAAATCCTTTATTTTACGTGGGTCAATCAGGCTTAGTCTTTCCAAGACACTGGGAGTGGATGGGAATCTCAGCACTGGGATTTGTTCCTCCCCCTGCAGGGACACCTTCCACTAGCCCAGGTTGCTCCAAGCCCCATCCAACCTGGCCTTGGACATTCCAGGGATGGGGCATGATACTCTCCTTTGCTATTCCAGAGGTTTTTCCCTGTTTGTTCCCTTCTAGCAGATTTTATTCCCACAGCAGCTCCCTGCTGTTATTTCCCTGCTGCAATATTGGCCCATAACCAGAGCAGCAAGGGCAGAGTCATCGAGTTTCTGCCCGTGCCCACAGGGATTTGTGTTTCCTGCTGCTCTGGAGGGGAATTTTCGGCCCTAAACAGTTGAAGGAAATAAATATCCCGATAATAAACTGTCCCAGCCCATCCCCATCCCAGAGCTGGGACCGTGTGTGACCAGCAGGGAAGTGGAACAGCTCCTCCAGTGTGATGACACCCGTTCCACAAGTTCAGCATCCAGCCTGCAATGGAATTAATTATTCATTAGGCTGCAATTATCCCCCTTGCTGCCGTTCCTCAGCTTGGAATTTCAGATGCTCGAGGTTCCTTTCTGTTCTCAGCTCTCCTGGAAGCCTTGGGCTTGTGGCAGGGTTGGGTGGCTGTGCAGTGTGAGAGGCACCAAAACTCAATTAAAGCAATTACTCTGATTATTTAAATAGAAAATGGCTGAGATTTCCCCCCCTTGAGTTTGTGTTGGGGTTTTTTTGTGTGGCAGCCTGGTTTAACCTGCACCACACTGCTGCTGGAAGCCTTCTAGGAAGGCACTCCAAGACAGCCTCAGAATTCCCTCCTGGAAATCTGGAAGGCTTTTCCAGGTCATGTCCCTTTTGTTCCCAGCTCTAACACCAACAGTGGGTCAGGGAGCCTTTCTGTGCTAGGGAAGAGCTTCATGTGCCCACCAAAGGGGAAACAATTCTGTCCAGGGGAAAAACCCAAATCATGGAATGGTTTGGGTTTGGAAAAGCCCTCCAAGATTGAGTCCAACCATCCCCAAGCACTGCCCAGGCCACCACTGATCATGTCCTCAAGTGCCACATCCACAGGGCCTGGAAATCCCTCCAGGGCTGGGCACTCCAAACCTCCCTGGGCAGCCCCTGCCAGTGCCTGACCACCCTTTCCAGGAGAAATTCCTGCTGATGTCCCACCTGCCCCTCCCCTGGCACAGCCTGAGGCCGTTCCCTCTCCTCCTGTCCCTGTTCCCTGGGAGCAGAGCCCGACCTGCCCCGGCTCCCCCCTCCTGGCAGGGATTGCAGAGCCAGAAGGTCCCCCCTGAGCCTCCTTTTCTCCAGGCTGAGCCCCCCCAGCCCCTTCCCCACAACACAGACAAATCAAATGGCTCATGGAATTTTAACCTCCAGGACCACAGGAAATGGCACAGAAAGGGCTTTCTTTGCTCAGTTATATTTATTTGGAGGATGTTCTGTTTTTTATGAACGGCTCAGGTGAAAACCCACACGCTGAGATCTGACTCTGACCACACAGAAAACCCAGTCAAACACAGTTCTGAAAGCAGCAGGTGTGTAAATGCCAATGTAAAAGCAGCTTACCTGGTCTGTGTCCTCCTGTCCTTCCAAGGCGGGTTTCTGGGTGGTCCCAGCAGCTCTGAAGTTGCTGGTTCCTGTTGGCCACTCTTTGGGAAGAGGCAGCATCTCCCAGTGCTTCCAGTTTCCCATAAACGCCCGGCCGTGGCACTCGGTGCTCCGGGCTGGTGACAAGGTGGGCATCGGGCACAGAGTGGACTCTGAGGCCCTTTCCAACCTCAATCATCCCGTGATAAACTTAAATCTCTTTTAATGGTCCAGTCCTTGACACCTGTCACCATCCTGTCACTCCTGCTTCTCTCTGGGAACCAATCCTACCGTGAGGTCACAGCCAGGCCCAGCTGCAAGCCCAGAGCATTCCCAGGCATCCTTCATCCTCTACCGGAGCAGTTGGGAGCAGGGATTCCACTCCCTGCTGGAGCAGCGAGGAATTACCTGGGCTTTGTGCTCCTGAGCCGCAGCTCTTTGAGGGCAGAGCGGTATCAAAACAAACATCATTTATTTCTCGGAGCAGGCACATCTCCTTCTTCGGGGTGTCACCAAATCCCACCAAAAACTCAGCCCTGCCAAAAGCTACTGGCAAACAACAGAAATACCACAGGGCTCCTGGTGGCTCTTCCCAGCGTCATTCCCACCTCAGTGCAGGACACAAAGAGACTGGAGAGACTTTCCAACGGTTTGTACTTTTGGCTCATTTATTGTAGAAAAGTTAATTGTAATGCAGTTCATCTTTTGTACATCTAAATTCCAGAAAACGAATCCATAGAAATGAGGATACTATGGGCATGCAAGTCTGCATGATCCTGGTCACAAAAATAACACCACTTTTAGTTTGATTTTATTTATAATTTTTTTTTTTGGAGTTTTTCTTTGAAAGCCACTAAAAGCAGAGGGAGAGCAGAGCATGCACCACTGTACACATTGCATAGTATATTGGACCCACATGCCTTGTCGGGTGCTACACACACAGGATCTAGGGGGGAAACAAAGGGCAAACCAGCAGAAAACACCAGCTTGGGGAAGTGTTTTCCCAGCAAAGGCAGCAGGGTCTTCACCAGACTCTGGCCTGGCTCCCAGGGAGGCTGCAGGCAGCGCTGCCCAGCTCCCCCTGGGACCCAGTTTGGCTGAGAAACAGAGATTTTTCCGGGGTCTGAGAAGCCCAAGGTGCAGAGTTTGCAGTTGGAATGACTGTTCCCATCCTTCTCCCCCCCTCCACTTACCCAGGATTTGCATTTTGGGTGATTTAGGGCCTGGCTGACTCTCCCTCTCAGCACGAGAAGAGACTCGGGTGTGTCCCAGCCCTTGGCCCCACACACCTCACTTCCCTTTAGGTTTGAAATTCTCAGGAGTATCATCAGTGGAATTTTTGGGTGCTGTGACTCTTCTCTCCCCCACCTCAAAGCTCTGGAGCCCCCAAAAATATCTTTACTGGGAGTCTCTCATTCCTGACCTCGGGCCACCGGTGTGCCGTGGGATATTCACCAGTCACACCCCAAAATCCACACACTGGCCAAAACTGAAGGGATGAATGTGATTCCAGCAGAAATGGATGCACTGGGCTCTTGGATCTGAAAAGCTTCTGTCATTTAATTCACTGACATGGAAGGAATACAAGTTATTGAAAAATCAATCCCGTGTGCAAAACGCCAAAACCAGCTGCTGAAGGATCAGGCAGCGAGGAAAGGGAGCAAAAATGCCATCAATCCACTGCTGCTGGGTCAGAAAATGTCCCCCTGCTCCCCAAAAACACGATGCCAAAGGCAGGAGTGGGGCTCTGGGAAATTTGTGCTATTACAGATGTGCTTCTTCTTCCTTGCTCTGGTTTTACACCGTCGGTAGAACAGATTATTTCGTCCTGCCCGTGAGACCTCCTCACTCCGGGAATTCCCACCAGAGGGGATAAGGGGGGTAAATTTAAGTACATTTTGGTTTTCAGGGAACATTGGTAAGGCAGGTGATGGTCAGGAGGGGACATTTCTGGTCAGACCTTGCTCCTGGAGAAGACAGGAGTAGGATCTGCTCCAGGTGGGAATTTGGGGGGAGAAGGCAGGTCTATAAACCATCCCTGAGACCAAGCCAAGGCTACTGCCAGTTCCAAAGGAACAAAGGAATGACACACTCAGGAACATTTTAAAGAATTCCCACCTTCTCCCCAAATTCCTTGTATGGATTTAATGACAATACTCCAATCCTTGAGTGGATTCCACACATAATGAAAGAAATCTTACATTTCAATCCTAGCATTTCAACCCTAAGGAGCACTTTCTGCTCTTTCTCCAAGTTGATTCCTTACACGTATTTCACAACATTATTAAAGTTTCCCTTTATTTTTAATGACACACCTTTATTTTCCCATATAAAACAACCCAGGTTTGTGGGAATGGCATTTTACAAAACATGCCTCTGATTTTGGTGTCTTTTTACAAAACATGCCTCTGATTTTTTTCATTTGTGGTCTCCAATTATTTTGCCTTAAAAACCCATCGGGAATGTGGAATCAAGGACAAGCTTCAGGAGGACTGAACTTGGCAAAGAAAGAGGACACATTTAATCCATTATTGAATTAAAAATGGGTATCAGAAGCCCTGACTTACCCAAATCAGTGGGTTATGGAGCAACAGGATTAGCAAAATTATTCTGGAATGGTGAAGTCAGGAAAGGCAGGAGATCCTGGGATGTTTCAGGGAATTCTGCGGAGCTGAGACCAAACTGATTTCCGAGGATTTGGCATCAAACTGAACACAAAGTTACAAATATCATCAGCTGGGGTAAATCCCATGGGATTAATGTTTGGCACCAGTAAAAGAACCTGTCAAATACAACTTGCCCCAGAGAAAGGGTTTGGAGTTAAAATGTAACAACTGACAATCTCTAAAGTGCGTTTAAGAGCTTTAAAATCCTTCCTTAATTGATTCACAAACATGGGAATGCACAGAATTTTGTCTGCAGAGATTGTTGTTCTCACCTTCACTGGCTAAATCATCAGTCCCAGAGTGTCCCAGTGAGGAGCTCAGATAGCAACAAAACTGTAAAAAAATTCCTCTTGGCCCCGAGCCAGAGCTGGGGACACAGCTCTGATCTTCAACAGGGCTGTAACAACAAGGAGAAATGATGCAGGGCCTGCAAAACGGGTCTGAGTAAAGTCAGGAAGACACGAACTTCCCAGTTTTAAATCACTCCCGACGCAGCAGTGCTGGAATTCTGACAGAAATTCCCATCCCCAGCACAGCTTTCACTCGTTACAGTGTGTTTAAAACAATCTTTTGGATAAATGAAGGATCTATAGCACAGCTGGCACATTTGTACTTACAGATGAATCTATCTTCAGAGGATAAACATCCCCAGCAACGAAGGAAACCCGGATCGCTCCTGACTGGTGCCCTGCATCAAAATGGAACGGGCAGTGGGAGAAATTCATTACACACGCGAGTAAATCCAACTCAAGCCCAGGTAATAAAGGACCTCAGGACAACCCAAGGCTTCCCTCACAAGCTTCTTTCTATCCAACCACAGCAGTTTTGGCACTTGAGATGCTTCAGGGGCTGGGTTTGTGCAGGTGTGGATCCTTCCCTTGCCTGGCCTGACATGTGGAAGACTTAAAAACAAGGCTCCAAAAGGCTCTAGAAAATCTATGTGGGTGCTTGGCAGCGACCTGCAAATCTGCAAATATCTGCAAGCAGTTAATGAGCTGATCCCTAATGATCCCTAATGATCCCTAATGCTACTGCAGGAGGAGGAGAAGCAGCTGCTGGGAGGGTTCCGGGGCTCCCCTGCCATCAGGACTCCCATGCACTGAGGGCAATGTTCTCCTAAGGCCTCCTTTCTCATGCAGGTGCTGAGCTGTACATGGGAAAAGGGCTGGGCAGTTCCTGGAGCAGGGAATGCTGGAGCAGGGAGTGCTGGAGCGGGCAGCTGCAGCTCCCAGGCCGGATCCTGCCGTGTTTCCTCAGCTCCTCAGGCATCTTCAGGCGGAGGAAATCGGGCAGCACCGGGGCTGGCAGGTCCTTCCCCGCTCTGTGACTCCAGTGGATGCAGACATTCCCACTTTTATCTTGGGAACGGGCTCACTGGGATCACCCAGCGGGGCTGGAGCTGCCTGTTGGACAGTGGAGTTATTACAAATAATTAATCGTCATCTGCCACCTTTCAGTGCTGCTGGAGACGTGTCAGTGTGGGGTGTCCCCCAAGGGAGATTAATGACTGCTCTCGTTAACCTCGAGAAGATAATGAGACTCCAGGACGAAGGAAACACCAGTGGGCTTTGCCAGCTGGTCCCGAAAGAAGAAACCATAATATTCCCGAAATTCCTTTAGTGCTACATGCTGTCAAAGCCTGACTTCAGCAGGCTCTGGGAGGAAAACAAGCAAATAGAAAAGTTAAAGATGGTCACTCTTGAAAAAAATGAGCAGTTTTGCCAAGAACCTGCATGAAAAATGCAAGTTCAGCACAACTGTGTCAATTTTAGGGCATGCACGAGGTGGGGGATTTCGGGAGGCTCTGGTTGTACAAAATGGTCAGGTGGGGTCAGTTTTCAATCCCACTGGATCTAAGGCTTCACTGCTCGTGTAAGACACAAGGTCCAATCCCAGAAATTCACCTGTTTAAAGGAACTCAGCACTCAGGAGGTGGAATAAATGACTGGTAGGAAGTAAGGCAGCGATATATCTCCAAGGATTTCTCATGGGATCCAAGGCTTTCAATCAGCCCTAGGACCTCCCTGGGAGCAGATTTCTGTCTGGATATTCCCTTTTTTATTGCAGTTCTGGTCAGTCTGTGGTGACTGGTTAACCCCACTCCCTTGCCCTGGATTTCATGAGGGGAATGGAACCTGATCTTCCGGAGAGTTCTTGTGCGACGCTGGAATTTCAGACATTCAGAGGCGGATTTGGGAAGAGGGAACATGGGTGTACTGGAATGTAGGTACTCCACACACTGGGCGAGGGGAGGGGAGTGTTTCCCACTTAAAAGGCAGGAGCAAAACGGGAGAAAAATCTGATGTCTCCACACTCCTGTCCCATCTGGGGACTTGGAGCTGTACTCAGGTAAATGAGAGGATAAAAAAGCTATTCCCAACTTCCAACCACACAAACTATGGAGTTTGTTCCTTTTCCTGTTCCTATTTCGCTTCTCCTGTCTCACTTCCTCCCTGCTGGTCCTGACAAAGCCATCAGGACTTGCTAAAATCAAGAATTTGGCTGCAACATTCGTGCCAGGTCTAAAAATAACGTCGAACTGGAAAGTGTTTTGTCACTGCTGCAATAATTTGTGATATTTGGCACTCTGGAGAGTTTACATTTGGTTTGTGTGAAAAAGCCATTCTGGAAATAAATCAGCAGGATAGAAATCCTTTTATTCTAACTGGAAGTGGAAATTCCAGCAAACAAACACCGGAGCTGACTTTGTGGCTTCCAGTGATTTTTTTAATTGTCAGATTTTTCTTTGTACGTTTGTGTTTGGTTGGTTGTTGGTTTTTTTTTTTTCCCAACTGTTTGCAACATGCTCACGGCGACTTTCCAGTCAATTCACCCAAATTCCAACAGGAATTGGTTTATAAATTGGTTCCAACTGGAACTGGTCATTTGGAATTTCCAGCAGAGGAAATCGTTTTATAAGTGCCTCGATAGGTACCCGAAATTACAAACGGACCTGTCTAATACCTAAGGACAAGAAAAAAAAAAAAAACGGCTATAAATGCATCAAATGTACTAAAACCAAAACCAACCCCCCAAAACAACCCCCATGAACGGGCAGAGAAACGGAAGGGCCGGGTGGGGTTTCGTCGCCCCTAATTAACATCAATGAGAGCAGAGCGCGCACCCGGAGCTGTCGGGTGTCACCCCTGCCGCACGGAGATGACTCGGATCTCGTTCCTAAGCTACGGGGGTGGGAGGTTCTCCCGGGGAGGGATCCTGGTGGCGGCTCACAGCCGGTGCCGGGAGTCGTGGCTGTGCCCGCCGGGGGACCCCCGGGTCCTGTGGGGTTTGTAGGAGTCCTGGTACGAGTCGGAGAATTCCTCCTCCACGAGGGGGTAGTGGTCTCGGCTGTGCTGGGAGCTGGAAGACAGGCGGTTCCTGCTCTTGCGAGCCCTGTCGCTGTGGTAGTTCTCGTCCGGGGGGCCGAGGCGTTCGGCGGGAGAGCCGTCCGGGGCCGGGGGGCCGCGCCGCCCGCGCTGGCTCTGCGGGGCCAAACGGGGGCCAAGTTAGTACCGCACGGGGCTCATCACCCACTCCACCTCCTCTCACACTTCATTCTTTCCGCCAGCCGCGCCGCCTCGGCTGGGCTCTCTGCCTACCGAACCTGGCTCTTACAGGGATCGGGGGTGGGTGGGGAGGGAGGCTGCTGGAAGCAGGAGAGCAGGGGAAGGGGTGGGGGGGGGCTGGCGGTGCTCGCCCTGTTGGACACCACACTGAGAGAGAGCATGGGCGGTGAGCTGATGGGCCAGCATTTATCGCTTTGCTCTGATCACCGACAGGACAGTCGCCCTTCTTCTAGGCCGTTTTTTAAGTGTTTGGATTTATGTAGTTTTTTTGATTTTTTTTTTGTTTTTTTCTTTTTGTTTTTTTAAAGTTGCTTCTCTCTGGTTAAACCCTTCGCATGACCAAAACCAAGTGATGGGCTGCTAAGAGGGCGGCTGAAACGGGTCAGAGGTTAACGAACCCCCTTTCAGCTCTTGAAACGCTGAATATATTTTAAATACACCGGCAGAAAACCCTTCTCCTGAGATAATCCATAAATTAAAAAGTTCAGCCCCCACGATGTATTTTTCACGTGCCCCTGCGTTTTTTCACGCGAACAAAAACGAGTTCATTTGTTTGTTTTGGGGTTTTGTTTGGTTTTTTTTTTTTTTTGCCAGCTAAAAGAAAACAGCCTGAAGTTAAGTATTTTTGGGTGCTGAACCTCTCAGGAGTCGCAGCCTGGGCAGGCAGGGATGGAGCAATCGCCACAGGTTGGGCAGAGAAGCTGTGGCTGCCCCCTGGATCCCGGGAAGTGTCCAAGGCCAGGTTGGACGGGGCCCCGTCCAACCTGGCCTTGGACACTTCCCGGGATCCAGGGGGCAGCCACAGCTTCCCTGGGGCAGTAAATATTCCTGCCAGAGATTCCCGAAATCAAGGTCACGAGTAATGATGTAAATCCTTTCGGCTGGCCTGGATTTAGCACAGAAACCTCCATGTGGATAATGATGGGGATTGGGGGGGAAAAGTCCACCCTGCAGGCTCTGGTTGGGCATCACTTGACTCCAGGAGAAATTTACCCCTCTGCAGAGCACCAGCACCAGTCATCCCACCTAAACCCTTCAGAATCCGGGTGGAGTGGGGATTAAGTGATGCATACCTTCAGCCAGCCCACTGCACAGGGGTGATTTTCATCTTCAGTGTGAGTTTTCCCTAAGTAAATGGAGCAACATTGCACAGTTATTGCTGGTGTCCATTGATCAGAGAGAAATAAATGCCTGAAAAAAATCCTGCGGATACACCCAGTGCTCAA